GCGCTATTTCAACAATTTGCAATACTTTCTTTCTCAGATTTGTAACTTTCCATGCAAGTTTAACACTTTGCACCTCAATTTGTGATCTCATCAATATGCATAACTGAAAATATATGGGTATGTAACCAATGATATATAATATTATTCACGGTAGATATCCATGATCACCAAACGGAAATTTTGAACACTAAATGGTGTATAACGCATAAAGCGAATGCCATCAACAATATTGTTCTAACCCTAAATTGCAGCTATAAATCTATATATTGATATCTAATTTACAGAAATTAAGCTATGTTCAACTTTTTACTGATAAATCAATTGCCACTCATGCGATGTCAACGAAATTTTGTATAGTAGGTTTCTCTTATGTTGTTAAATCTGTGCAAATCAATTACCCAATTTAGATGAACCAATCATTGGTTGTTCTATAGATATCTCAATTTTTCAGATCAGTATTTAGGTAAAGTACAAGTAACCTACTCATCGGGAGCAATTTGCAACACAAGACGCAATTACTATCTGCAAATAATTATGTATAAACAAAGCATTTACCGGTAGCCGTAGTCAAAATTCTGTTCGTTCTTAATTGAAATTTCATTACCATCCAAAACTTTAAAAGATTTGAGATCATCATAATCAAGTTATTTTAACAACATCATTTACTGAACAGCAATGTAAAACACCACTACATTTGCACGTCGAGTAAACGGTTTCAGTAAAGTGATTTTCCCCATTATTATACTTTCCATATATATATCAATTTGCATCATTTCAGTTGTCTAAGAACATGTATATGAGTATATTAGAATTCATTATCTGTAACAGCGTTTTGTTGACTGTCTGGAAAAAAGAGACAGAATAAGGTTGCGAGACTTCTGAATTATTTTCTGGTACGTTTTATATTTGGAGGCAACGTGTGGAGATTTATTGCATAAATAGACATCAAAAGTAACAAATACAAATCAGTGTCGTGGCGAACACATTGTTCATTAATCCACCGATCATTTGTTCGTCACGTTTCTATATTCCAGACACAGTATTTGTTGAAACTATCATTATTATTATTCAAAAATGTTATCTCCTTTCAAGATCGCATTCAGTGCCTGGTAGTGTTGAGTGGTATAATATATTAGGGGTTGGTGTCAGACCCCCCCCCCCCCCCACTATGCCCACTATGGTCCGCTATGGTCTTGGTACTAAGACTAAAGAGGCTGATTGTATTTTTTTTTTTGAACAATTTTGATATTATGTGTTTACAGGAAACATGGTTAGGTAGCCAAAGTAGTAGTGATGTATTAGAAATAGATGATTACAGTAGTTTTAGATCAAATAGAAAAAAAGAAATCAAACAAAAGTAGAAGGGATTCTGGGGGGGTGCTTTATTATTTAAGTCCAAATTTAACAATTGTCTGAAGAAAACTGATTCTGCAATAAGTGATTTCATTTGGTGTAAAATAGATAAGAAATACTTTTCTTTAGACAAAGATATTTATTTGGGATGCATATACATACCTCCTGAAAACTCAAATTATCATTTAGACAATGTTTATTTTGATATCTTAGAAAGAGAAATCACCAATTTCTTTCATAAAGGTGAAGTAATAATTGCTGGGGACTTTAATAGTCGTACAGGTTCTCTAGCAGATTATATTGCATTTGACGACAATGAACACATCCCAGTACCAAATAACTATATTGCTGAGATGTTTACTAAAAGGCATATGCAAGATAAATTCAAAAATAGATTTGAAATGCATCTGGTCAAACTCTGCATAAATAACAACTTGGTCATTTGTAATGGCAGACACATTGGTGATTTAATTGGAAATAATACTTATCGTCACCCAGCATGATCTAGAACAGTAGACTATTGCATAACAACTAAGAATCTTTATGAACAAATCCAATATTTCAAAGTTTACAATATTAGTTATTTATCACTGTCATATTGAATTTTCTCTAATAGTTGACTACAATACAGATCAAACAAGTCTACTGATCAGTTGCACCCCCATCCTTCAAAATATGTAGGGATGAAAACTCTTAAGAAAATTATGCATTCCTTTTCAGCAAGTATTTGAGCTATAATCTACATAACATGAATATTGATGAAGCAACAGTCAAGTTGAAAGAAATTCTGATTAAATCTGCTGACAGTTGTCTAAAAAAATTACACCATCAACAAAAAATAGTAAAAAATTTAAACGTTTTATTCAACCTTGGTTTGACAAACCATGCTACATTCAAAAAAAAGAACTTTTCTCAATTTCTAAACAAATATCGAAGCAACCAAACAATCCATTTATAAAGCACAGATACCATGTATTCAAAACAAATATACTAGATTAATAAAAAAAATAATAATTTTTTAAAAATGAAATGATAAACAAACTTGAAACTTGTGATAAAACGGATCAGAATGAGTACTGGTCATTATTAAAACAACTACGTTGCCAACAAAACAATCTTAATCCTGACTCAACTATAAATAGCGATGAGTGGCTAGATCATTTCAGCAAATTATATAACAATAATAAAACTAATACTGATTTTAAGCAATTACTAAAATTATTAGTGAGATACAAAATTATGAGTTTACAATGTTATTTCATATAATGAAATTAAAAAGGCTATTACAAATTTAAAAAAACAGCTGAAGACAGTATTTCAAATGAATTGTTAAAAACAAAAAATAGTCTGTTAATTCCATGTATACAAAAATTATTCAATTTTATTTTAGAGAGTGGCACCTGTCCAACAAGTTGGAAATCCACCATCTTAGTACCACTACACAAATCAGGTGACAGGTCAAACTCAGCCAATTATAGAGCAATTGCTATATCAAGCTGTCTGTCAAAATTATTCACAGGCATTATGAATCTCAGATTGACAAACCACTTGGAGAAAAACAAATTAATGAATGAGGTACAATTCGAATTGTACAAGTGATGCAATCAGTGGAAAAAACACTGTATGGAAAAAAAGAAACGGGTGCTAAGTGTAAAAGAGTATACAGCTGTTTCGTAGACCTAATTAAAGCATTTGACAGTGTCTCAAATGATGCTTTATTTCTAAAACTACAAAAAACTGGCATAAATGGCAATTTCTACAACATAATAAAATCAATGTACACTGATCAAGAATATAAAGTAAAGCTAAACAGTGGTATCACAAAGGGATTTTATCTGACAAGTGGAGTCAAACACAAGGGTGCAACATCTCACCAACACTTTTTAACATGTTCATGAATGACCTTCCTGGTATATTCGGTGAGAATGTAGATAAACCAATCATGATTGACACTTTCCCCTGAATTGCATTCAGTATGCAGGTATGCGGATGACCTGGCAATTATTTCGGAGCCCGCGGACGGTCTACAAAACTGTCTGAACAAACTAAATGACTATTGTACAACATGGTACCTAAAAGTTAATGTTAGAAAAACTAAAGTGATGATATTTAACAACAGTAATCGTTTAATAAAAAATATGAATTTCAAAATAAATAATGAATAGATAACATCTGTTAAGGAGTTTTGTTATTTAGGAACCATTTTCACACCAAATGGTATATTTAAAATAAATCAGTCAAACCTAAAAAATAAAGCTATGAAAGCTTTATTTAGTATACGTCACACTATACTAAATCATAAAAGATCTCTACAAAACTAAGCCTAAAACATTTTGATCAAATCATCTCTCCATTTTGTTATATGGGTCAGAGAAATGGGGCCAATGAAATTACAAATGAAAACAATTACTTGAAGCAAGCATGCAACCACTTTTACCGGTTTATTTTAGGTGTTAGTAAAGTAACACCATTGATTGGTATGAGAAGTGAAATTGGTAGAATTCTTATAAGATTAAGGCAACTTTATCACTAATTAAATATTGGCACAGATTGTCTTTGTTACCTGAAAATCATATTCTAAAATGTGCACTTAAAGAAACAGTGTCTTCAAACTTAAGCTGGATAGAACATGTTAAAACAATTCATGGACATGCTGATTTAAATGAAGTAAAGAAAATATATAGAATGTGGGGAGAAAAATAAAAAAATAAATATATACAAACATGGTATCAGCAACTTAGTCATGTCCCAAAAAAACGGAAATTCAGAAACAAATTAAGAACGTATAATTTGTTTAAAATGGAATATGAATTGGAAGAATATTTAACAGAAATTCAGAACTTCAATTTGAGAAGAATGGTTACCAAGTTTCGACTTAGTGACCATAATTTGGAAATAGAATTAGGCAGGAGAAAATTTCCAAGAATTGAGGCAAACTACAGATTGTGTAAAAAATGAAACACATGTATACTGTAGAAGATGAAGAACATTTCATCCTTGACTGTGCTTCTTCACACAAGAAAGAAATACCCTCTTAGAAGACTAAATTAAAAATGTGAAATACAGCTAACCGAAAATTTAATAGAAACTTGCATTTTTAATAGCAGTACTGCACTTGCAAAATACTTAAAAACACAATTCATCAAACCTAATACGTATTTTATATATACCCTTTAGTTTGTTTTGTTTGTAATTGTTTTTTCTTTTCTGTATTATCACCAAACAGCATCCACTGATGTGTGTAATAAAGTTATTATGCCCGGATATTTCGGTCCCTATTCATATACTTGCACACAAATTATAAAAAAAACACTATCTAGTTTAAAAAAACAGTTTAATTAACATATCGAACAGTTATTGCGCCCTCGGACGTTGTTTGTGTCCGAGTGAATCTGTCGGGGAGGGCGCAATAACTACGACAGCGAGTTGCGCGCCGAAAATATTTTTTACACATGTACGTCATGTTTCTGAAGTGTCTATTTTAATGAGTTGGTTTATTATTCGAGCACATGTTTGTTTTCTAGTGTGCTCAATAAAGGAACATATGACATAAATCAGAATTATTTTTTTTCTGGAAATGTACTACTGTAAATTACTCGAGGTTGAATCCAAAATTGAATCCGAATCAGGGGGTCAACGTCAGCATCATATATCTGAACATGGCTGCCAATTTATTAGAACACCTGTGAACAGTTACCCGTTTGATCGTTTGCAAGGTGAGAGTGTATTTTGGGAATTGTAAGAGATTGTAATACGATAATCGTCGTTATATCGCATTGTAATTAGGAGTGATCTTCGTATTTTGACTATTCTCGAAATAACATGGTGAAAGTATCA